CCTTTTAAAAAGCCACTCCATTAATTAGAGAGACAGAGGGGCCTCTGGCTGCCTAATCAGCCTCCATCAGCTTGCCTGGGGAGGGCTTTCTGGGGCTGCTGTGTGACCTTGGGTGTGCCCTGCCCTCTCTGGGCCTGCTTCTGTACTGAGCTGGGCTCTGCTGAGATCACCTAATCATCTGAGGTCCTTTCTTTTCCCAGAGTCTTTTCGGAGACTGTGGATTTGAGGTATCAGATGCTGACTCCTCAGAGAGGGGGAGGGAAGGGGGGTCTCATTATCTCACTAGTGAATGAGGACAGAGATTTACAGAATGGAAGTGACCTAACAGTTGTGGAATCAGGAGCACAGGGGCTGGCTAATGTTCCTCCCTATTCACTGCACTCTGCACTCAGATGTTATGAAACTCCCTCTTGGACCCCCAAACACTTTAGGCTTTGGGACCTCACAGGACATTAGTTTGTAGAACTCTGTAGAAGGGGAAGTCACCTCAGCATGCTGCCACCAAGTGGCTATCCAGTTCTAAGCTCCGTATCTCCCTTCATGGCCCACCTAGGGGGTCTCCATTGTTAAGGTCCCTTTGGCCCCAGAGAGACCCTAGATAAACATGGCCCTAAGTCATTGTGAGTGTTCTCTGTCTTGGGCAATCCCTGAGCCTCAGCAGTTTTGGGGCTTCCATGTTGTCTCACTTGGGTAGACAGATTCTATCTGGAGGAAGAGGGCCAGGAATCTGGCTTAGTTAGCCAAAGCCAGAGGTTCCTCCTGGGAGATGAATAGGACAGCACCAGAGACGCCAGCAAGACAGGAGAGGTGCCTGGACTGGGCCAGAGGGAACGACAGGATTTCAGGACACATCATCACCCTGAATCCCTTGAACTCAACACTGTAAGCACACCACGGCCCTGATGATGGTGTTATGGGAACCTCAGACTACACCAACACCTACCTGGCTATCAACATCACTGTAAACACCCCGTCATGCTTTCCATTTCTCCAGTTCCAGTTAGCATCAGTGACACCCTCTGACACTATCATGCGCCTCTATTCCTGCCGTCTCTACCTCCATCAGTGTCACTATTGCCATGACCCCCCTCTGACATCATCAATCTCCATCGTCATCACCCCTGGTGGTGTCCCCGTTGTTGCCTTCCCCATGACCACCACTTTGAGCATCACCAGCACGTCTACCATTTCAACCAAGATTCTATGGCAGCACCGCAACCTTCTCAGGTCCCCCAGGATGGTCAACGCCCCCCATGTCAGCAGGAAGCAGTCTTGAGAATTCGACGCCCTTAGTCTTTAATCTGCCATGTCTAACACCCCATCTTTTTTTTTAAATAATAATTAAAAGTGGGATTGAAAGGTTCAGGCATTATGCTGGCCTGCCTGTTACCTGGCGGAACAGGCAGTACCCTGGTCAGCCCAGGGTTCCATGGGCACTAAGTCTGCACGCAGGTGCAGAGGACCCCTTTAAAAGACAGACCCCTGCCCATTTACTCTCTCTCTCCACTCTCTTCTCTCTCTACACCCTCTCCCACACTCTCTACTCTTCTCCTCTTCTCTGTCTGCTTCTGCTTCTCTTCTCTCTCTCTATGGTGAGCGGCCATGGCTCAGCCATTTACCCTGTTTCTCTTCTCTCTTAGTCTCCCTACTCTGCCGGGCCTATAATAAGCTGGTTAACATGGCTAATATGTCTCATCTTGTGTCTTATCTTGTGCCTTCCTCCTCTTCTTCTTTATCTAATTTAAACAAAAATCTAACAACCACCATATCCTCCACCACCACCGTCACCTTTGTCACTTCCGTAATCACCACCACTATTACTTTGCTACCATTGCTACCACCTTCACCGCCACCTCCATCATCACCGCCACCTCCATCATCATCACCATCTCCATCACCATCATCATCACCATCTCCATCACCATCACCGTCTCCATCATCACCACCGTCTCCATCACCATCACCATCTCCATCATCATCATCACCACCTTCACCACCACCTCCATCATCATCACCATCTCCATCATCATCATCATCACCATCTCCATCATCATCATCATCACCATCTCCATCATCATCACCATCACCATCTCCATCATCATCATCATCACCATCTCCATCATCATCATCATCACCATCTCCATCATCATCACCATCACCATCACCATCTCCATCATCACCACCATCTCCATCACCATCTCCATCTCCATCATCATCATCATCATCATCACCATCACCATCTCCATCATCATCATCATCATCATCACCATCTCCATCATCATCATCATCATCATCACCATCTCCATCATCATCACCATCTCCATCACCACCTTCACCACCATCTCCATCATCATCATCATCACCATCTCCATCATCATCATCATCACCATCTCCCTCATCATCATCATCACCATCTCCATCATCATCATCATCATCATCACCATCTCCATCATCATCATCATCATCATCACCATCTCCATCATCATCATCATCATCATCTCCATCTCCATCATCATCACCATCTCCATCACCACCTTCACCGCCATCTCCATCATCATCATCACCACCTTCACCACCATCTCCATCACCATCACCGTCTCTATCATCATCACCATCTCCATCACCATCACTGTCTCCATTATCACCATCATCTCCATCATCATCACCATCATCATGACCACTGCTAGCACCAAAACCACACTTCCATCACCAGCACCACAATCATCATCATCTTCACTCCACCTTACAGTTATCACCATCACGTCCTTCCCCATCAGCCCACTGCCACCACTTTCACCTTCACCCCATCATCACCATCCCCCCATCCCTGTCACCACCACCACCTCCTCCATCACCACCACCTTCTCCTCCTCCACCCTCACAGCACCACCTCCTTACTGTCACCCATCATCCTCTGTGGCCACCTGGAGCTTGGTATAGAGTTGCTTCCTCCCTCCCTCCCTCCCTCCACCCGGCAGTCTCCTGTCTCCCCAGCCTTGGGGCTTTCCCACCCAGCAGCCTTCACCAAGAGGTGGGCGAGGGCTGTCACCACACACCGACAGAAGATTTCGGTGACTCCTGGTGCCTGGCATCCCCAGTTCCTCTGCCACACACTTGACAAAACAGGTCCCAACAATTTCTCTTCAGGGCTGAGAAATGAGACCTGGGAGGCGGAGTCCCAGCAGCCCCCACAGTGCGGGCAGATGAGGAAGGCATACCCTGAGTGTTTCTCACTACTGGGTGTGGCGCTGCACCTTGACAAGCTGAACCACACGCGGCTTCTCCTTCCATCGGACTGTCACAATCACCACTACCATCCCATGGCCTCTGTCACTGCTAGTGGCACCGTCAGTACCTTCTGCTCCTCCTGTCATCTCCATCATGACCATGGCTATTACCCTGGAGGGGGTGCGGCCGTCTTTACCTGAAGCCACCAGCAGTAGCCTGGGTTAGTGAGTGAGGACAGGTGTGGAGCATGGAGCCCATCCTGCTCTTGGTGAGATGATGACTGTGAGTGATAGTGACAGTGTCCTGAAGTGTCCCCAGAACCTGTTGTTGTCCTTCCTGGCCTGTGGACTTCAGAGAACTGCTATGTCTCCTGCAAGGTGTCTGCAACTGAGAGCCCAGGAGCACTGGGAGATGAAAGAATGAGCGGGAGGATAATGGAGGCAAAGATTCAAAAGTGCAGAGGAAGAAATGAGGGAGGAGGAGGAGGAGGAGGAGGAGGAGGAGGAGGAGGAGGAGGAGGAGGAGAAGGGATGGCATTTTTGAAGTCTTGGAAGTCCAGTCCCTTATTGACACTCTGCTGCTTCCATCTGCTACACAGGATGAGGTGAGATGGGAGCATGGAGATCTCAAGGCTGGTACTCCAAACAGAATCCAATAGCAGAGCAGAAGCCAAGGATCACAAACCCAGAGACTTTCCAGGGCTGCTGTGGCAGCTGTACCAGTGACACCACAGGGAGCTACTCAACATTTGCACCCTGCTGTGCCATGCTCCCATGGTGCTACATTTCCTTGTAGCTGTTTCCCTCAGGGTCTGTCCCCTTCTTCACACCACCTACTCTGGAGGACAAATGTCCTACGGGTCTAGGATGAGCTTGTTTCTACATTTTTCCTTCCATGTATGAGACTACATTGGTTTCCAGGGATCAGGAGGTAGCATGTGGTTGGGGGCTCCTGCTCTGTCTTTCTTCACCTATACTTTGTATTAATCACCTTTTATATCTGAGTTAAACAGAATGCATCTTCTCCTCACTGGCCACCACAGCCCAGATGGTCCTAGTTCCAATTTCCTTCTCCCTCTCGAATTTTCTGTGTGACCCTGAGCTGTTGCTATACGTCTCTGAGCCTCATGCATTAAACAGATCTTTGCTGATCGTGCACTGTGGGCTGGATCTGTCCCAACCTTCCTGATGTCTGAGAATGTAGAGATAACAGGACACAAATATCACCGCCCCTGTCTACCCCAAGGTGCTTGGGACCTCTTCAATCAGCAACCAGACTCGGCTCAGAGGACTGATCCCAGGAAGTCCTTGCTCCTCTTGCTGACCACTGCCATCTAACCTTGAAGTCACTGACCCAATCCCACAGCTGACCCTGCCTCTCCTCTTTGGCTCTCAGGGAGCCCAACAGCCTCCATGTAGCCAAACTCACACTTGAGGCCTTTCCGCATCGATCAGACCTCCCACAGCTCTGTGATGAGTAGAGCTTGGCTGAGAGGGTGGGGACTTGCTACTCAGTGCTTATGTCACAAAGGGCCCTGGCCCCAGCTTGGAAGGGGTCACCTGGACCTAGCCCAGAGCGACGCTGTCCCTACCCCCTACCCCTCTCAGTGGAGGCTCCACCTGTCCCTGAGAACCAGAAGGATGGAAAGCTAAAATCTTGCCACCCAGAGCCAGCAGATTCCATCAAGTCCTCCACCCAAGGGAGGACCCCAGCCACTTGCCTCAGCCCTCCTCAGCCCTCCTTAATCTGGTCCAGTCCCCTCCACACTTGCCATGGCCAACTACTATGAAGTGTTAGGTGTGCAGTCCAGTGCCTCCCCTGAGGACATCAAGAAGGCGTATCGAAAGCTGGCTTTGCGTTGGCACCCTGACAAGAACCCTGACAACAAGGAGGAGGCCGAGAAGAAGTTCAAGCAGGTGTCTGAGGCCTATGAGGTCTTGTCAGACTCTAAGAAGCGCTCTTTGTATGACCGGGCAGGCTGTGACAGCTGGAGGGCTGGTGGCGGTGGCAATGTCCCCCATGGCAGTCCTTTTGGTGCTGGCTATCCTTTCCGCAATCCTGAGGATATCTTCCGTGAGTTCTTTGGGGGAATGGACCCTTTCTCCTTTGATTTCTGGGACACCCCATTCAGCGACCGCGGCCGGACCCATGGTACACGTGGGGCCTTTTCTTCGGGCTTCGGTGAGTTCCCGGCATTCATGGAGGCCTTCTCATCCTTTGATGCCCTGGGCCGTGGCGGGGGCAGCCGTACCACCTTCTCGACCACTTCCATGGGTGGCTCCAGTTCAGGCAACTCAGGGTTCAAGTCAGTGATATCATCCACGGAGATAGTGAATGGCCATAAGGTGACCACCAAGCGGATTGTGGAGAACGGCCAGGAGCGTGTGGAGGTGGAGGAGGACGGAAAGCTCCGGTCAGTAACCGTCAATGGCAAGGAGAAAATCATGCGTGTGGACAACAAGTAAGGACCACCTAGGCCAGCCCTGGACCAGCCATCATCACAAGGGGCCACAGTAGTCGCAAGCTAATGGTTAATAAATGTGACAAGTGAGTTCAAGTAGATACCTCTCCCATCCTCAGGAGAGGGGTGTGTCACTGTTGACCCACTGTGTGGCTGCCACAACTCTACAGACACACTCAGGAGCTTGTGGCCTCTATGTCCACAAACCTGCTGTGTTTCCCATGGGGAGCCTAGGACCAGGTCTTTAGGTGATTGTTAATCTCTGTCATCTGCACCATCTTGTCACCCTCATGTCCTACCTTGCCTGCTCTTCCCATGTTCCTCCTCCAGGATGGCCGACCACCAGCCTCACAGCAATCCTGCTTAATTCCCACTTTCCCTTCATCACTAATTGAGTAGCAGCCCTCCATTCCAGACCCAGGCTCTCGCTTCTGTCTTTCCTACACTGCTTTCAATCTCCCTACCTTTTCTGCTCTGATCATAAAGTCCTCTGGCCTCATCCCCACTATGAAGCCCTTGTGGTAGAACCTCAACTACCTCCCTGGCCTCAGCATCCCCACGCTCCCCCTGTGACCTCCCATCACACTTCTCTCTGCAAATACTCCAGGGCCCTTGCATGGGTAGCAGGTGAGATCCCTGTCCCCATCATGAATGTGCTCATGTTTGGTCCTGGGAACCATTGGGTGGGTTGGGAGCAGCGGTGTCACAAGCAGAGAGATGGGCGGGGAGAGTTTGGGTCAGGTCTTTAGAAAGGTCTGAGATGCTGACATCCCGAGGCAAACATTCTGGGTGGTGGGACCAGCACGTGAAAAGGGCCTGGGGCAGGAACAGGCTGTGCTGTTGGAAGTACAGGCACCTTTGTGGAACGCCACTGATTTTCACATATCAGGGTTCTTGACTCTGTATTATGGAAGAGGTAAAGGAAGGGTTACAGAATTGCCAGGCAGCTGAGCTAGTGTTCCATGCTGGTTTTTAGGGTGGAGGGACCAGCTTTTAAACAATGCCCAGGGTGATTATTACTGCAGTGAGGGAAAATGGCAGGTGTGCACCAGCCACGGCTGGCTTCCTGGGGGCTACAACAAACAACCACTAAGGACTCCAGAGTTAACACTGGCTAATGACAGAGTGTAGCTCTCAGGTAAGGGACGGGTTCTACGGGCGCTGGGCGCATGAGCCGAGAATTCATTGTTGGCACGTGAACTCCAGCTTCAGAAGGGGTCCAGCCCATGGTGTGGAGAGGAAGGAAGTGAAGTACAAAGTTCCAGGGGACAGCAGGCCAAGGGAGGTTCTGGTGCTCACGGGGAGAAGCGACAGGAGGCTGGGAGGCATTAAGGGAGCCTGGTTAACTGAGGGAACCAAGGAAGAACTTGTCCCATTTCTGCACACAGTGCTAGGAAGAGGACCATTTGGGTAGGAGTGCAGGCCACTGAGAGGTGGGCCCAGGAATCTTCCTGTTCTGGGAAGCTAGGTATCACCCCACGATTTCCAGGGCCAGCCAAGTGCTGCAAGTGTGATGGCCAGAAGCTGTTGACCCCGAGGCCTGGCCTGGATCCCATTCCCTGGAATATGCCTCAGAGGTCCTCAGCCAGCCAGCAGCTGGAGGCAGCTAACTGTGTTACTGGTTAGGGCAAGGGAGCTGGGGCACACAGAAGGCAGAATCCAAGCTCCCAGCCCTGCTTAAGGACTAACTTTATCAAAGTCCCCATGGCACTAACCACCCGACCTCTGCCCCTGTTGACCTGCTAATGTCCCTGATCACTGACCAGCTACGGCTGCCTCAAGTGGGCCTGCTTAGGGCAGACAGCTGCTGGGCAAATCCAATTACAGCCTAGCAGCCCCAAACAGCCACACACTCCAGTTGAGTGCCCAGAAGAGATCTGGGTACTTGCCAGACTCAGGGATTCCAGTATCCCAAGAACGCTGGTGCCAGGGACCACTAACCTCTCCCTTCCTGAGTCTCACCTGTGTTCTCTCTCCCTCCAGCACAGACAAGATATGACATTCTCAACCCTCTCTCAGGGCTGCCTTGGGCCCTGCAGGCTGTGGGACCTGGTAGGCTACCACAGGGTAGAAGGGATGCTCCAGGGAATAGACAGAATCTTAAACTGGCTCAGGCCCCTTGGTTCTTCCCACAGTATTACTTGGCATCACACTGTCCTCTGCTGGGCCACACTTCTGAGAGTCATGGCAGTGTCTATTCTGGCTCTTCTGTGGGAATCCCATCTCAAAAGTGCACCTGTGTGGGAAGTAAGGCCTGCTAGTCTCTTTCCAGCTCACTAAATTCCTCCTGAAATTCCACTCTCTGTCATCTCCTGGTGGTCTCAACAAACCTTTTTGGGCAGGGCATTCTGCCCAAGATAAATGTCTCCTAGAGGCCTTCTGAGTCTAGAGGGAGGATCAGCTGCCTGTGTCCCATCCATGTCTTAACTCTCTGAAAAGGGGCTCATGTGCAGACTAGCCAACCATGGACCCTGTGGTGCATGGCATCTGGAGACGATGTATAACTTTACCCTGCTGTCTCTAGCTGTCCCCACCCTATCTACCTGGACGTCCCACCCCTTCCCCGGCCCTGTTTGTTTATTCTCGCCCCATAGCCAAAGGAGTTTCTAAAAACCAAAAAGCGAAAATCAAGGGCACTCACTGGTACAAGCCATCACTGCTCACCATCTTTGGAGGCCATGAGCCACCTGCCCCATAACCTCTGGCTTCCCCTTTCTCTGCTCCAGTCTCACCATCCTCCTCACTGCCTGCACCCAGCACAGTCCTGCCTCAGGACATTTGCACTGGCTGTGCCCTCTGTCACAGCCTGATTCCTCCTAGATCGATTGCAGCCTGGCCCAATCCTCTGCTCTCTCCTGCTTCCCAGCTTCTGTCTAGTGTATTCTGTTTGGACTCTCGACTCCCGACCCAGCTTTTCCAGTCTCAATGGCCCTTTCAGACTCACTCTGTGCTCTCCACTTCCAAACTGTTACATCCTGGAGGGGCCCTGATTGTCCAAAAAGACCTAACCCTGCTGGGGAGAATGCATAACACTGATGTGGTATTGTAGAGTGTGTTACATGCAGGATGCCATGGCCTCGGCAGTGAGGCCCATGAGAACGAGCTAAAACCTCTGCTCTGGGAAGCTAGTGTCTCTGTGTCCCAGGGCCTGGCTAGGTAGGCTTTCGGAGGGCTAAGGGTCCTTGTGGGTTGAAGGGCTTCAGGCCTGCCCACTGCTCCTGAGCTTTCCACTGACCTAAGCAATAAATATGATCAGCCTGTTTTATAGATGGAGAGACTGAGGCTCCAAGAGCAAGAGACTGGGCCAAGATCACCTGACCACACTGTGAGCTGGTCTGCCCCCGATCCCCTCCCCTGAGCAGGCAGGGTGGGTGGGGCACAGGCAGCCTCCCCTCTCTCTGGCCCTTGATGTTATCACAGCTGATTTAATTTCAAAGACGGATTGAGCCATGGTGGGAGGGAGAGCCACTATCACAGGGCCATCTGCCCTGTTGTCATGGGGATGGGCTCCCTGGATTGTGCGGGACCCAGATAAGGGAGTGGGCTGAGGGGGTGTGGGTGGTGGGACTGCAGAAAAACCAAGATCAGAGTCAGAGAGGAGAGGGACGTGGAGGGGAGGCATAGGGGCAGGAGGGACCCTGCAGGATGGAGGGCTGAGCAGGATTCAAGCAAGGCCAATGGTTGCCACACAGGTGACTGGGCACAGCATGCTTGTTCACCCACATCCTGTACCACAGCCTGTCTATGAAGCCAGCCTACCATTGGCCTAAAGGTGCTCCTGCTGATTTGGGACTCCTCTGTCCCCTGGGACAGGATGATAGGCAGTGCCAGACATCCCAGTCAGCCTGTCTGCTGTGACAGGTTGACACACCCCTGGCAGTTCAGCTCAGCCAGGAGCACAGTTACTTCCCTCCAGAAACTTCCAGAAGTTTCTACTGCCCCATCAACAGTTACCACAGTGACAGAGACTGTATTTTGCCAATGGCAGAACAGTGCCGAGTGCCCTGTGCTGTGCTGTGTCTGCCACCCACCATCCAGCCTCAAGCATCTCTCACACCCACCCACAGAATGGGACTGTGAGACATCCCCCAGAAAAGATCTAAGCAGAGAGCCCCATAACTCATGCAGCCACAACTTTGGGGACGGTGCAAGGGAAGGTTCTAGAAGGAGACCGAAGTCTTGCCTCAGCTCTGCCCTCCAAAAGAAGGCCTGGAACATTCCACCATAGCATATGATTTTTTCCTCATGGGGGCTGGAGCAGGGGCAGTTCCATCTCAGCAATTCTAGGGCATCCTTTCTGCTCTCTGTGGCAGCCTCCGGTTCAACAGGGCCACCTCTTTCTCCCCTCTCTGTTATCTTAATTGTGGAAAAGTACATGCAACATAAAATTTACTACTTCAACCATTTTTCAGGGTGCCAGTCAGTGGTTTGAAATCCATCAAGGGTCCCGTTGCTGTTCCCACCACCCACCTCCAGAGCGTCTCCATACTCCCATACTGACACTGTCTCTACTAGACACCAATCTGTCCCCTCCCCAGTCCCTGGCACCCACCATCCCACATCCTGTCTGGACCTGGATCTGGCGGCTGGGTGGAACCATGCCCATTGTTTAGTTACCAGGAGGACCGGCCTCGCCCTCCCTCTCCTTTCCAATCATGGGCCATAGAGGATCATGAGTTTCAGTGTCCAGGGAATACTGAACCCTCCCCATGCTGGGTAGAGTTGGAACTGGTCGCATTAATGGTGGGGTGGTGTCACAGCCCCTCCCATGTTTGGGGGTTCCTGGGTTGAAGCCATGGTGAGACTGGAATGTCCTGGTTCATACTCCTGGCACCATCAAAGCATACAAAAGAGCATGTATAAAGTAGAACAGTGGCAGTGTGTACTCCCTCCCCACTGTGCACCAGAGCTGCGCTGGGAACAGCTGGCTAACTAATGGATGGAAGATTCATGTACAACTGTAGTTTCTTTTTTTATCAAACTTTTTAGTTTTTTGATTAAAAA